CATACAGTAATGTTTCGACCGATCGAATTTCAGTCATTAACAAATCGAAAGCCCGTGCACAGTTAAAATTAACACTCTTTTCGAAAACACATAAACCTACTCCTACGATAAAAGATTAAGAAACAGAGTTAAGAACCTGGTAAATTATAAATCGGTCACGAAAGCTTTTGATAACCGCAACTATATTCTTTCCTCATCTGAAATCAATAATATACACAAATTATATGGTAGGCAGAAAGATGAGCAATAATAAGATAAAGGCAATACAACGAAGAAATGTTAGATAAACAACAAAGAAAGAGGTGAAAAAAATGAAGGCAAAAAAAAACGAAATAAGAAAAAACAAGGGCGGATAAAAACGGAAAAACGAAAGGTAAACATGATATTAAATCGTAAAATTAAATTATCTTAGACGATGGTCCAACTAAGTGAAAGGTCTCTGAAGCTTAATTCACCGCTTACATAGATTACCCAAAACGCTTTGTTTCTCATGCTACATGATTTAATTCTTTGTTTGTCTTACACTTCTTCGTTACATTTCCTTTATCATATATCTGCTGATCCTTATAACTACTACATCATCATAATACATTATTGATTTGTGATAAAGGAATATCGTTGCGGATTCTGAAAACTTCACTTATTATATAATTTCTCCAGACCTCTAACCGCTTCATTTAATCTGTTAAATGTAACGCATTTAACAACTATGGGAATTTACTATCCATTACTAGCACAACAACTTGGAATATTCAAATATGAGTAGAACATCCGAATGCTGCATAAAAAACGTACCACAACGCTAACAAAAACTGACTAAAACCGTCCACTATCCACAAAGACTCTGTAACTAGTTAATTTGTCAACGCTGAAAAGCCGCTCTTCATAGTACCTTCAAGATGCCAGCATTTCTGACATTTTTCTTTTTATTAAGTTAGTGGAGGAGCACTGATATTTATCTTCATGCCATCAGTCAGGAGTGTCTCATCTTTAAAGGCAGAAATGGCAGTACGTCCGAGGCAAGCATTTCCAGTATTTACCTGTTTCCTTTCCACTCACTCATCAACTACGGAATGAAGAACAGAGTGTGGGGCCCCGACAGGGCTCGAACTTGAAACATCGGTTCTGAGTTCGACTCTCCACCGAATAAGGAACTGCGGTCTGAAGCAGCGTGTGTCAAATTCCTTACTCAGGGGAATTCGTAAATCAGATAAAGATTACCCTTTACCGGAATCTAACCTAGCATTCACCGGAGTTTGAAGCAGACCGCTTAGCGACTGTGCTAACAGGCCAATTTGGAGTGTATGTTACCATCCAGAGGGGTACTTTGTCCATACCGGTATGAAGTGGTCATAGCAGTCAAGGAGTATGGTTCATGAATTCATATTCCAGATCATACCGGTAATACCGTGATTACACTGAATTATTACTAAACTCACTCCTATAACTAAGCCGTAACGCTGTTGTCTGAGTATTTAATTCGAAACAGTAGCTTTAATCTAGGCTGAATAGAGGATTGGTTTCAGTCAATAGGTACTAGCCGTCTGGGCAAATTACCACTCTGGACGGTAACATACATACGCAGATACATGCAAAAACATGGCTTAAATATGAAGTCAGTGCCTGAGAAGACACTCACGACAAATCTTCAACATCACCAATGAGAGATCTGAAGGCGACTATGACCACACAAAATTACTTAACGATATTCCATCTAAAATGATTACAGCGAGCCGGGACACTTCATAAAAATCTCATAGTAGGGAACAGAGAAAATTTAATACAAAATATTCACAACACTCCAAACGCCTGATCCTGAAACATACCAGTTCAAAAGACGCCTCCTTAAACACAGACTGCCAGGTTTCGCCAAAGTCACCAGAGATCTTTTCTTTCGAGAATATACCCACAATTCCGACCTTAAAACTTGTCGTAATGTAAGAAGTAAAGCAACTAAC